ACAAGATTGAAAAAAATAAAAAAAATATAAAAAAAAGAGGATGCCATTATTTACCTGTCAAAATAACAACAACAACAACGACAAAAAAACAGATCTCCACCCCTACCCACCGCCCTACCACCACCACCACCACAACCCCACTTCTTTTTCCCAATAACATATGTGTACAAATATAAAAATGAAAACAATAAAAAAGAAATATACCCTTAAACTTAGTTCCTTTTAATCATGAATATGTCATCATTAGTTTACATGTGAATGAATGAATGAATGAATGATAGTAGGAATGAATAGATTGTGAATTAGGTTAAATGATACAATCGGATAATTATTAAAGCATGATATAAATAAATTATGCTAATAATATACACTCATTTAAGTAGTAAAAAAGAATGTGTAATGAAGAGAAAAGTTAAATAAGTGATAAATATGATGAAAAAAAAAGGAAGATGAAATGATACATTTGAATTCAAGTAAGAAGTTTGATAATATAAAATGATTATGAAATGAAGAAGACAGGGAAACTTTATTCAAATATGTTATTATATATTAAAACTTGTCATTTAGTTAAGTTTCTCTATTGTTTATTGAATCGTAACATTTTCTGGATAATAATAATAATAAATTCACTTGATATTTTCACCAGTTGAGATCATGAGACAATTGAAGCTAGATCACCATGGAAAATCTGGAAGCACTGGATGACCGTTTCGTCCTATTGTGGGACTCCTCAGCAGTACGCATCCACGATCCCACACCCCGTGAGATTCGAACCCAGGACTTGTCAGTCTCGCACCAGGCGTCGAACTAACTATACCACTGAGCCGGCATCTAATGGTGTTAATGTCTAACTTCAACTAATCCATGAAATTGAGCGACACATCCACCATTGTCATCAATGAGTTATTACCTCACAATTGACGCGGTTGAACTCCACTGGTGTTGTTTATTTGAATCTTCTCATTGATGTTTAGGACTGCAATTGATTAGTCTCTTGTTGGTATTTGTTAATACTCTGCATATTGCCTTGATATTGCCTTAATTCACAAGCATTCTAAGCAAGGATGGATAGTACTTAGTGGTTGAATCAAGGACTCATCAGTTGGATGCACCTGAATCTCAGAATTGATGTTCACTCTGAGACTCGAACCCAATAAATCAACATTGAAATGCATGTATATCCGGTTGACCAGTTCCAAATAGGACGAAACGCGCTTCCTGGATTCAATTGCTAGCTACTATCCATCTTTGTTAATAATAATAATAGTAATAATTAAAAAACAACTTAGAACTTTGTACGTACGTAAATCAGTTCGAGTTGCTATATCACATTACATTAGCACAGTAATACAATTGTCAATCCAAATCACATAGTGGTAGAGGTAGTAAAAGTATAAGCACTAATCGGAAAAATTAGGGTTTGAAGATGTTATTCAAGGAGTATAATCCAGTGGAATAAATTTGGAGAGAGAGAAAAAAGAAGGTAATATGAATAGTTCAGATTAGAATTTGAGAGAACACAAAATGTGAATGCATCTGCGCCATTACAAACGGTTTTAAGCCATGTTACTCAAGGTCTCTAACCATCGGTTGCTATCATCTCGTGGATCCCAACCAGGTAGTCTACACCTACCAACATGACTCAGTTCACTTGTCAGTGACTTCATGGATTTGTGTCATGTTTTGGTCTGGTCGCCCCTAGCTTTCTTCCAACCTACTCCTACACCATAAAACATTCCTCGTCAAGGTAGCTGGTGGTTGGGCATACTTATTACGTGTCCCATCCATCTCAACTGATGAAGTTTTACTACTTCATTAATTGATTTGCCATCCATACCAAGCACCCGTTTCTTAACAACTACATTACTTATTCAGTGGTTCCATGATATACGAGCAATGTTTCGAAGACACCTATGATCGAATACTAGTAACCTACGAATAACCACAGCCATAAATTAGGACGGAACGAAGTGCTGCGCAATAAACCCGACCTTTGGTTGGTAGATGGATATCTCGCCTGGAGTATTAGTAGGAGGAGGAGCAGGAGGAACAGGAGGAGTAATACAAGTACCAGTACCATCCATTATTCTTTTTTATTCATATCCTCATCCTTAATTATTAAAATAATACTTTGCTTCAATTATTTCTTTTTGCATGAATTCCCTATCATTATTCTTTTCTTTTCTTTTTTTTTTAGTTTAAAAGTGTTGTAATCCATTGACATAATAAATAGATAAAGATATTAAGATTGAATATTAGATTTGATTAGTCTTTTGTTCATCTTATTCAATAGTTAAAAGCAAGTAGATAATCTTAATCTTTATTTCCCTTTATGTACACTTTCAGTGATTGATCTTTTTTTTCTTTTCTTGTTTTGTTCTTTTTTTTATATACAAATTTATTACTATTGTCATCAGTTAGGTATTAAAAAAAACATGTCCATATTAATGATAGTGGTAATGTTTATGATATGAATACTAAGTATCCATAATGATAATAATAATAATAATAATAGTTGTGCCTAATTCGGTGTTGATCACCTTTTCTGAATCAATTTTTCTTTCAAGAAAACAAAAGAACAACTTATCTTATGTTTATCTTTTTTCCCATGAATTGGTAAATCATAAAATTGACGTGTATACACTCAGATTTGTGCTCATGATGGCATGAATATACATCATCATATACGTACGTACGTACACATGCACACGCACACACGCACGCACGCACATACATACATACATACATACATATATATATAGACTTACATCTATACATGTAATCAGTTTCACGCAATAGATAATTCTTTTCCTTTAAGTTAAATATATTGTGAGTAATAGGAGGGGGGGTGTCAATCAGGAAAATAAATCGGATTAATGATTTCTTTCAACAGCAAAAAAAATATTCTCCACACAAAAAATAATAATAATAAAAAAACTGATAATGAGATGTTGATGATATTTTAATGTTTATGATAATTTTTTTGTGTTATTCATCAACTTCATTTGATTTGTTTTTATTGATATAATAAAAAAAAAGAAATTTCTGATATTAATTTCATGGTTCGGTTGAATATACAACTCAGTCATACAGGAGATCAGTTATGATCCGAACAGAGAGAATTAGAAAGGAAGCGGCAAGACAGAGTGAGTTGGAGAATGCTTGTCGGCAATCTATGCTCCATTGTGAGTAACAGATGTAAGTAAGTAAGTAAGTAAGTAAGTAAGTAAGTAAGTAAGTAAGTAAGTAAGTAAGTAAGTAAGTAAGTAAGTAAGTAAGTAAGTAAGTAAGTAAGTAAGTAAGTAAGTAAGTAAGTAAGTAAGTAAGTAAGTAAGTAAGTAAGTAAGTAAGTAAGTAAGTAAGTAAGTAAGTAAGTAAGTAAGTAAGTAAGTAAGTAAGTAAGTAAGTAAGTAAGTAAGTAAGTAAGTAAGTAAGTAAGTAAGTAAGTAAGTAAGTAAGTAAGTAAGTAAGTAAGTAAGTAAGTAAGTAAGTAAGTAAGTAAGTAAGTAAGTATGAAGGTGATCGATAAAATATTGAATTTGCTAGAGAGAATAAGTTCCCTTAAAAGTACAGGTTCATTTTACTGATGAGTATGAATTGTAATGAGTCTTAGATCTAGAATTTCTAGTCAATTATCTCTAGGCATTACATATCAAAATTATTCGAGTTTATTGAAGTATGGCTTTTGTAAATATTAAATTAGTGTTATTTATAAGTCTATTTCATTGATATATGTTATACTTGTACTAAAATCTTAATGAAACATCTATTTCAATGATTGAGATCATGAGTTAATTAAAGTTAGACCACCGTGGAAAACCTAGAAGGACTGGACACTCGTTTCGTCCTATTGTTTGACCCCTCATCTATTTATCACAACAGATCTAATAATAAGAATCGAATAATAATTGGTTTGTTATTCCAGTATTTGATGATAATATAATACAAGGTTATTTATTCTGTATTGAGTCATTCATTTTATAAGTATTAGTGATAATATTAGACTGTTAGAGTAAAGTAAGTGTTATAAAGTTCGAACCAGAATTTGTGCCTAAACCTTTAATTCAATTTTAATGGAATTATTTCTGAAAGATTGAACTAATCATCATACATTTCACTCGAATAAGCTATTAACTGGAACAATATTAAAGAATGAAAGTCTTAACTTATCAATTTTAAATACGAGTCTAGAGTTTAAAAAAATCATACTATATGATTTTTCAATATTCTTTTAATATCTTCAATACTCAGTGGCTACAGATATTTAAGGAGCTGAGTTAAATATCACTTATTTAATTACGCCAGTCACCCTTAAAGGAGCATGGACCGCCAACCAGAATCCTCCAACTCACCGTGTCCTGCGCCTTTCTATCTGGTTCTATCTAATAGTTATTCATTCTCCTCATGTCTGTCTCCATTTCTCGGTGTAATGCGATCATTGGTCTTCCTCTTCTTCTAAGATTTTCAAAGTTCAGCAAATAAGTGTGCTACCGTAAAATTATAAGGCTGAAATCCAACAGTTTATATTTCTCATTTCGGTCGAATAGTTACGTACTTCATCCATGAACTAGTGTCATCGGTTATTTCTATATCACTTCCTACATGGTTAGAAACTAGTTACGACTTCTCACCACAATTTTAATAATTTTCTTTATACCTAGTCACCCTCGGCAAAATCTGACATACATCTTCATACTATTCTCAAAGAATAGTGAAACTGTATCCTACAATCTAACATTAACAGTAAATGGAGATCAGGCTAGTTTACTACTCTACCGTAATTTCAGATTAACTGTTTTATTCATGCTGGAAATACCTATAAGATGCACTGACCGATTTGATTGATGTATTTCATGTGTGAATACAATGTGCACTTGTTAAAATAAAATAAAAATCAGAAGTGTATTTAACCCATTTAACGGTAGCAAATCTTAACAGCTCATTTTTGGGTTTCCGTTAATATACGATTCCCAACTGAAAATATTTATCATATCACAAGTATGTGTACTGCTCGAATAAATAAAACATTAACCAGATATGAAAATCGGTTTCTTCAGAAGGCTTCATCAACCTTGACAATTCAAACTGCGCTACCTAGTCACTATCAAATAAATGATGATGATGATGATGATGATGATGATGATGATGATGATGATGATGATGATGATGATGATGATGATGATGATGATGATGATGATGATGATGATGATGATGATGATGATGATGATGATGATGATGATGATGATGATGATGATGATGATGATGATGATGATGATGATGATGATGATGATGATGATGATGATGATGATGATGATGATGATGATGATGATGATGATGATGATGATGATGATGATGTTTAAAGATTAAGGTTCATATAAATTCCAGATTTTCGTACAATCATCAAACTTTTCTAAAAATAAAATAGGTTTTTATTTTTTTATATTTTAGATTATAGAAATCAAAATGAAATTGAATTCTTTATTTGTATAATTGACCTAATCTATCAAAATATTGAATAAATTACTTCTTTCCAATTATGTGATATGATTAATTGGTTAAAATCATGATTAAACTGTAATTCATTGACTTAGTTATTTTATATTCTTTTATTGAGTCTAAACTACTTTTCTCTTTTGAGAGAAAAGAAGATATTTACATTTTCTTTTTTATGAGTAATAAACGTTTAGAAACTACTCAAAAGTAATAAGTAGTAAGTGTTTATCTTTATTTTGTTATTTAAATGTAAACATGATGATGGTGATTATATATCTAGAGGTTTGTTGCTTCCTGTTGTTAATATCCCGTTTTTTGTCATATATGCATTCTGTATGAATTTATAAACTTAGTGGATTATGCGTTGATTATTTAAGTTACCGTCTCGATATGAACATTAGTACTGGGAATCTAGATACATTCAGCTGATTCGTTTCAAATAGGATTAAACACATATTTTGAATTCTTCTGCTAGTTACCATACGATTATAACACTGAGTAATAGAAAACCTTCATCTCATTGATCACAGGTGTTTTCTTCATGGTTATAGATACATCTTAGTGGATAGGATACACATTGAGGAAAGCACCCAACTGTGTCACAAGGCAAGTCCTCACAGGGAATACTCAAGGCCAAAGAAGGAGGAGAGGAAGACCAAAGAACACATTACGCCGAGAAACGGAGGCAGACAGACATAAGATGAATGAACAAGAATTGGATAGAACTGGAAAGGAAGGTCCAGGACAGAGTGTGTTGTAGAATGCCGATGGGCGATCTATGCTCCATTGGGAGCAACAGGCGTGAGTAAGTAAGTAAGTAAGTAAGTAGTAATTAATTATTTAAGTAAGTAAGGTACATCTTGATGCTGAAATGACAATCATGATAGAATTAAAGTCTATACGAGCTTGCCGTCATTTTTACCTTGATACGAAGTGAAACGAACCAAAGATTATTAGCCATACCAGAAAAGGACTGCCATCAGAATCAACATCAGACACTGCTAAGGAGTCCTATACTAGAACGAAAACGGCCGTCTAGTGCTTCCAGGTTTTCAATGGTGGTCTAGCTTCAACTGACTCATGATTTCAATCTGTGAAAATTCCTAAAATCTCCACAAACCCCTTCTGATATCATTAAATGATTAGTTAGAATAAATATCTAATAATAATGTGAACTTTTTTAAAGCCTATAATACTAGTCTACATTAAATTGGAGTGAGTAACATTTTGTTGTGACGCCTCTAATCATTCAACTTAATCGGCAAACTTATATCACGAAATGACCTTAGTTACAAAATCATTTAACAGTTATTCTATGATTATATTTGAATATTCATCAGTATGTATATTTAGAATCCAAACTAAGGTTTGCATTGAAGAATAAATGTCTAGGTAGTTTAGATACCCGCTATTGCCCAGTTAAAACCAAAACAAGGTGATTGAGTAAATGACGGTTCACTCAGGTATTGAACCACTATTTGTTCAATTAATCAAATCAATCGCAACATATAAATGTTAGTCCATCCTTTCTGGATAGATCACGTACAGATTCGTTCGAAAGATAGTATTTGGTTGTGTTACAATACAGAATGTTTACAATTCTAGAAGAGTACTTCAATTCACAATCAAAAATGCACAATTCCAGTCAATGTAAGCAACACAATCAAGTGAAAAACAAATAAATATGGCTGCTACCAAGACTAAATATCAACCAAAACAACATAAATGCAGTTTAGGAAGAAACATGAAAACTAGTTGAAAGCGCAAGAAAAACAAAAACTACAATAAAATACAAAAATTACCATTTCAAATGGAATCAAGTAGACTAACAAAATGTACAACTAAAGGAATCAATAGAAGCAAATTACAAATGTATACATGAAGGGATTTTCATACAGAAAATCTTCATAATGGATCGTACAATATCCACAATCCATTTACAACTTTCTAGTTCACAACAATTATGTTGGAAAGTTCCTCCGATGATGTAAACTATAAAACTCAACAATCTATAAAGGAACCCAATCATCATAATACTAAACAATAGAATTAAACCTCATAATTCTAATAGCCTAGTTAGAACTTTGGTAATAGAAATGATCAAATTCATAAATTTAAAACACACTCATATTAGATTAATTAAATAAAATATTTTTTTTGAAAAAAAAGAAACTACTGATTAGACCACTGAATAATTGAGTAGTTTCAATCATACCCAAAACAAACAAACAATCATTCAATAACATATTTCACAGATACATTTTAGCATTACAAACTGTTATGAAGTCAATGAATGTGATACACAAGAATAATAAGTTATAACTAACTGACAAATGAATAAGAAGAAAAAAGAAAAAAGAAGAAAAAGAAAAAAAGAAAAAGAAGACGAAATATACAAACACAAAAACATCACATTGTTATGATACATTTTCATAGAAACTGATCGATACATTATCATATATAGAAGGAAAACTGGAGTTTAAAACAAGAATGCACATTCAAGGTGATTTTTAAAACGAGAAATATAAAGTGAAAACTGTTCATTTTTGGTATTTAAATAATTTCTGTCATGTCATAAATCTTATCAACCTTGGTAACATTGATATTTCAATACAAATATACACATTATATAGTTCTTGTATATATATATATGGAACCAAATGTATGTATATAAGCAATCGAATTGCTTATATGCATCAACGCATACATACATACATACATGCATGCATTTTTGATACATCAAATGGTGTATATATAATTACATTGATAAAGATTACTAATACTACTTATTATTGTTACTACTAGTAATATATTAACCATAATGAAATATGAAAAGATTAGTATACTGAAAAAGCAACAACTGTTTTGATGAAATAGAGAATGTGTGTGTGTGTGTGTGCGTGGGAGAGAGAGAGAGAGTTTACCTCAAATTTTGCTACAATGTAAGAAAATCATTCTATTTTTTTCTTTTGTGAAAGAAGAATATTGAATTGGAAGGAAAGACAACAGTGTAAAATAGACTCTTATAGAAATAAATAAATAAATAAGACATTTTAAAAAGAAAAGTAACATAAAAGTACAAATGAATGAATGAATGAACTAACGAGAGAAAGGACAGTCTTTTATCATATTTCATTATTGAAATGATTTTGATATAATATTAGATGATGGTATACCTTATTAAGTGATACATAAAGATAAAATTCATAACAATTATACAATAGAAGAGAAGTGTTTCAAAGAAGTAAGTGGAAGAAAAACTCATTGAATTCTTAACTAAAGATGGATAGTACATTTCGTCCTATTTGGAACTCATCAGTTGAATGTACCTGCATCGTAGAGTTGATGTTCTCTCCGAGACTTGAACCTAATTCTGTTCACTTTAAATGTCATCGTATTATTCACTTAGCTACTGAGTCTTGGATTCCGCTGTTAGCCACTATCCATCTTTGCCTAAAAAGCTTGTGATTTAAGGCTATATCGAGGCCAACAAGCGATTGATTAATTACAATCCTCAACATCAATAGGAAGATACAAGTAAAACAAAACCAAGTGAATTTATTCTTTGAATTCTTATTTCCTTACAAATTGGTAAATTTAAGACAGATTCATCTAATTGATAATCAAAAAATCATGACCTATACGACTGAATGAAATTGTAATTAGATGAAGCAGACATTGACACTTAATTTCAATACTATTTTTATTCAAATATCAACACGTTATTCACTAAGCTATAGAGATCAGTTCCCTGCTAAATTTTTCAATGTGTAACTTAGTATAGAGATAAACAGTAGGGTATAAGTTGAGATAAGATGGTGGTTGGAAGTAGTCAACAGGAAAACCTGGATCCGACTTTCGTGCTACTTGCCACTCGTCAGTAAGATGTACTTGTAATATTTAAGGAACAGGTGTTCTCTAACGGATTCGATCCCATGTCACTTGGTCGATAGCATTTGATCTGCACCAAGAAGGACTTGACACATATGACATTGATCACCACCCTGTGATCAATCAATTTTAAGTAGAGTACAAGTGCTACCAACTAATCGATCTCAATTATACTAGTAACAATAATACCTAAATTAATTATTGCACAAATATTGATTCAGATATCTATTACTGTTTTAATATTCATCATGTTAATAGACAATAGACATCGATTCATATAAATATAGAGACATAAATTAAGAGAATAATTTAGTAAACAATCGACTTTTTCCTCCACATGTTTACTTATCATTACATCTATACAAAGATACTTAAAGAACCAGATGGTTTAGTGAAAAAAAGCGGATACATTCTAATTACCAAGTTTTAAAGTACTTAAATTTAACAGGTGTATTCTTTATTTTATTGAATAATGGTAATATAAGTTTATATTTGTATCCAAGATCATATTTTTACTTTAAAGGTCAATTAGACTATGATATATTTTTACTTATACCCTTATTAACCCAATCATACTGGATGGAGAAACTCTGGAAAATGTGGAGTCCTTCACATACCTGGGAAGCATCATAGATGAACAAGGAGGATCAGATACAGAATTAAAGGCGAGGATTGGCAAAGCAAGGATAGCATTCCTACAATTAAAAAACATATAGAACTCAAAACAACGGTCTGTCAACCAACATCAAAGTTGAGAATCTTCAATACGAACGTCAGGGCAGTTAGTTCTATTGAACGGAGCTGAAACTTGGTTAACCCCACAACTATCATCAAGAAGGTACAAGTATTTACAAATAGTTGTCTGCGCAAGATACTTACTATCCATGGGACGGATACTATCAGCAACACCATTCTGTGGGAGAGAACAAACCAGCTTTTAGCTGAAGAGGAAATCAGGAAAAGACGATGGAGACGG